TTGGTATCAATTCTGTTAGAAAATGCACTCATGGCCACTAGACAATCATTCAACAATCTGTTTACAAAGGTGTACTGTTTTTAGCCAACTCAGTTCATGCCAGAAAGCTCACCCTCCCTTAGGGAGCTATCCCCCAAGCTGTTATCAGGTTATTGTTTATTTCCCTGCACTTCGTAGGATCTTTACAATCTTCCTTGCAACACCAGTGGGCAGTGTTGCATGCGAGAGATCATTTTCAGCCCTCCGTCGTCTGAAACTGTGGACACGCACTTGTGAAGAAACGTTATTCCTAATCCTGAGACAATCTACGAAATGAAGTCCAATGGGCGTGCTGTGTTGAAAAAATGACTGTACTTATGACAAAATGAACCCACAATTTCTTACTTCTGATTGAGCAATAAATAACAGTTAAAATGCACCAGAATGCAGTATTATACATACAGTTTTTTAAAATTTTCCACACCGTGGGAGACCCCCTCCCACCCCTCGTGTCCGCTTACTGCCCCCCCTGGGATTTTGCTCAGGCTACGGCCCTGGCAAGTCCCACTTGCAAACTCCTCTCAAACTCCTTGCGAAGGGAGCAAGTTATGCTTGCGACCTCGCTGTTCGAAGATTATTTGTAGAATCTATTGGAAATGTTCAATACCCTCCGTACGTGCTTACATACGCGCGAACTCGAAATTTCGCATAAAGGACTTGCGTGGCACATGAGATTCTTCCCAAAATTTGGACTCAAACGGGTCCGAAGAGCCCGTGCGGCCGGTTTTGACCGAGACTAATCTGTTGTCGTCCAATATTTTTTAGGAACTTTGCGGCTTCTTTTGTACAATACCGATGTTCAATTTTAAGCAATTAAGATTTGTATGCACCGCGCAATAGCATAAAAACAACAGCACCAAGGATTTCCCTTCGGCCAATTTTTCCACATATCTCACAGATATCCAAAGCGTTTTTCCATTTGAAAAAAGCATTTCTTTTACAGTGTAGGCCGTGCTTCCGACTCGTTGACCAATTTATCAAATCTATATGTGAAACTATATCGATATGAGGTGACAGACTCCCCCATGACAGACAGTCCGGTTCCCATCAATTTGCATAGGTAATTAATTAACCCCCTCCCTAGATTTTGACCCACTTATGTAGACTGACCCTAACCTGTATAATTAAATGGAGGGCTGCCTCTCTGTTACCCAGACCCTCAGTTTCGTGGAAATTGCATAGGGGGAGTAATGATGCGGGGGAGTATCGGTGCGGGGGAGTAACGGTGCGGGGAAACAACAATGCGGGGGAGTAACGGTGCGCGTATAACGGCAATTTTAGAGGGGATTTATCGATGCGGGGATCTATCGGTGTGGGGTCGTATCGATGTGCATAATGCAGAAATTTAGTAAGGGGAAGTATCGTTGCGGGGGGAGTATCGGTGCGGGGGAGTAACGATGCGGGGGAGTATCGGCATGACCCCCTTTAAATAGGCTGCACATTGTTTATTCCCAATAACTCTGGCAAAACCTACACCACAAGCCGTTGGCTTGAATATCCTGGTTTCGTGGTTTCAGTTGTCATAGCAGTTATGAATGCGTTGTTTGCCCAGAAAACCCACTTGACAGTAACTGTCAGCGAGTTGGTAGTGATGTCGTGTTGTCACGATGCAAAATATGTTCTATATGTACAACGGTCAGATTATCTTAACGGTATAGGGCCTTCAGTAGACAAAGAGTAGTCTAGGGTGGATCTATGGCGGACCCAGCTTGTTCTTTCAAAAAAGGGATAAAACCTCGACTGACTCTGGGTCCGCAGAGTAATGCTTTCACATACTTGAAAATGGCTGAAATTGCATCATTTGATTTCAATTAATTTTCTACAGTGGTGAGTGAGAGTGTAGGCATAGTAAAAAAATTAAATTGTGTTAACTTTTACTGAAACCTTGTATATGTATCTTTCATTTGTGCATGTGGTCATTTGTAGTAATTTGAGTGTTTAATCGGTTTAGTATAGCAGCTTAGCGGTTTTGTATAGTTTCCTGTACAATTGTATTGAGATACGTTCCATAAATGCTTATAACAAGAACCTGAAACATTTTTTAATATTTGAATCATCTAATTTTCTAGGCGCACACTTGATACTTGCACTAGTCTCTGAAGCTTAGGGGCGGCCTTTCACCCACGCTTGCAGCCCACAAACACCCAGATGCGTAGAGGAACTGAGCCCCAAAGAGCTGATGCACCAACTTCAATCCCCATCCCCTCGCGTATGTCTAACACACCTGCCTGTTAAGTTAATAGCACCGTCCATTCTACGTTCTTCCTGCAGGATAATTCATGTGTACAGAAACCCAAAGGACGCTTATGTCGAGTTCTACAAAAGACTGCCACGACTTCAGCAAAATGGTTCACATTTTGTTTAAAACAATAACAGAACCATCAAAGGCTCGGTTTTATTAAAATAGCAAAGACAACTAATCCATACAGAAGTTTGTGCTTTTTGTCATTCCCGGGGAATTTTGTCTCTTATTTGTTATCATTTAGAAAAGTTGTACTGCCACATCATAATAAGACAATACATAGGAATTACTCAAGGCCTTATCAAATCGAACGTGCTATCTTTGGCGTTCAATTTTTTTATCTTCTGTCTTGTTTTAGAAGATTGGCGGTTCAATAGACTGTCAGCTCACGCATAAAAATATTGTTTCGCTATGCAAGCTATTCATACGTGATCCAGCGTTGAGAGTAACCGCATTATGAAGTCGTCTGTGATTAAAGATTACGTTTTGCTTAAAATTACGTAGGAATTGTGAACTGGTTTGAAAGCACTGCAGAATGGCTTCAGCTGCCTAAGCAACGATCTAATGTCCTCAATTTAGCAGTAGAAGATTTGTTCAAGGTAAGATCCTGATCATGCTACATTGTAACTGATGGCTCTTCACGGACTTCAGTAACAGCCCAAAATGCCTTCACGCAAGTTTATCAAATGACATACTTTTAAATATTAAAATACACCGTAAGCGCATATTAAAATGTTAAATAAATCTTTTCAGAATCCAAGCGGCATTCTTTCTAAAATTTCATCATTCCTAGCCACGTCCATTAACGACTGCGTTGACCTCATCAAATCTAATAAAAGATAACGAAGGGAAAAGCATCATTCAACTGATGACAGTCATAAAATTCCTTTGCTTTAGATACAATTCCGTCGGACATCGGTGAGAATAATATCACCCTCTTTTTTCTCTCTCTCTTTCTCTCTCTCAAACACACTTTTAGTTGTTGATAATGACAACAGATAAAATGAAATAACACTAAAACACTCATCAGTGTCTAAAATATGTTTATATGTTCGTTATTTCCCCAGGTTTGCCGGGAGAGTGGAAAACAATGTTCACCGTGGCCCAAAGTCAAATATTTGACGACCTTCGGCAGCAATCAAATGTCCATCTCCAATGTAACAACGGATAACATAATTTATCACTTAATGTTTACTTTTTATTTCACACAACACTAAACGTATGACTACTAAGCGAAAACACGGAAGAAGCGAAATCGTGGGTGGTATACATGTAGGCCCTACTGCATGTCATAGAAATACCAATTTAAACACTGAGTCATGGCCACGAGGGTAACGAGACCTTGTGATTTAACGCAGTACGCTACATTTATGAAGACACTTTCCTGTTAGCAGAACTTCTTGGTTTGAATATACCAAACCGAAGTATATATGCTTATGTCGCATTATATATTGACAATATCCGTGAACGGCCTGAAAAGTGACTATCATTAGTTTGATTTTAGGTATAATGAAAAATCAAAGTAGGATTTTACTTTAGGCAAGGAGTTATAACTCCTTGCTTAAGGGAAATACATGAAGTTCAACATTCGTAATTTTTAGATGTATAATAAAACGTTCACACCCATGCACGCCCCTCCCCTCCCCGTTCAATCGCATATCTAATAATAACAATGTCCCATGATATACATTTCAACACAATTGACAAAAATTGACAAATTATTTTCAAAAAAAAAAAAAAAAAAAAAAAAAAAATCAATAAAGACAAACTAAACTTCTTAGCTCATTATACGCTTTCGGTGCTTTAGAGTTGGAACAATTATCAAAGCCTAGAATTTACAAATGCTTGACTATCTGACTATCGTAATTCTGTATCCTGTCAACATGGAAAGCACTCGGACCTTGCTTTAGTGCTAATCGCCAGGGTTCATATGTCTTGTAAATCATATTACATGCACTATAATAAAATATATAAATGAATACTAAATAAGGTATTGTAAAGCACACAATCCCTTTGACAGTTGGCAAATTGCGTCGTCATATGTATTCTGATGAAAACAAAGGTGCATTTCGCATTACCTATTTACTCTATACTGATTGATTTAACGTTTTTTTTTCAATTTCGTTTTTTTTTTCACTAAGACGCTCTAAGGCATTGGTCTCCGAAAATAAATTTTGAAAACGGAAATATAACAATCACACTCCAGATGTGTGTTCCCCCAAGCCACCGTAATTAGCTATCGCGGTATGCTCATCTGAAGACGCTGGGGACAGGCGGCGACGCCTTACTACCCCAAACACTATCAGTCCTACAATTACTCCACACAGAGCCGTGCCTAGTATGGAAACGGCGACAGTGAGTCCAGTCTCATTGGAACGGCTGGCAGATCCGCTCGGTTGCATTGTTCTAGGGGCTTCCACTGCTGCTTGGACCTCAAACATGTTTGTTTCGTCCCATTTTGTCGCGTGCCATGTAGAGAATCCGCCACCTTTCATTAAAACGCGCCCAGAAGCAGTCATTAGTAGGCGAGTGCCATTGCGCAGAAGTTTGGGCTTTAATTGGAACGGAGGCCGTCTGATAATGGGAAGAGCATTTGGCGTGAGGGCGTGGGCTTTCACACAGTAGTTAATCTCACATCCTTCGTTTATTGCAAGAAGGTGTTGACTGTAACCGTGAGGGCATTTTTTGGGCCAAAAAGGCGCACCAGCATCCATCAGGACAGCAGCTAAACCCAACGGAGCCCCTTCAACAGAGCGCTTGTGGAGGTTAGGCATGTGTGGCGAAATAGCGAGCGGATTACCCGAGGAACAGCTAAAGAAACCGGCGAAAGGTATGGCATAACGAAATCCCAGTTCGTAATCATCACTGACACATATGTAAATAGGCAGCGGTACACCCAGTTTAAGCGCTGTGAAATGAACCGGACAACTCTTCCCCTGTGTCAGTGGGTTGTCCGCATTGGCAGTGTAAGTACCACCAAATAAAAAGCCCGACTCTTGTGGTACCTCTCCCGTTGCAGCACACCAGTAAATCTGGTAATTTCTGTCATTACACACGTCATGGCAGCCGTAGGTGATAAACAAAAAATGGTTACATTCCCGGTGACATTGGCGCAGTTTGCCTTCATTTAAAAGGACCGCAGTGTATTGGGGAGGGCAGGAATACGTTCCAGTTTTATGATTTACCAGGGAATCCCCAGGAGAACACAGTCCTCCAGAACATGTCTGGTAAACACCCCCGAACGTGAAATTTGTGAAAGGATTTACACAGGTATTATCATCAAAGTTAGCAATGTAACTAAAATTAGGAGAGTCGACACTAGTGCAGCCGCGATAGACATTATACAAGTAGTAACTCTCCACCGCTTTCTGAACGCTGTCGGCTAAATCACGCACTGTATCCAGCGGTAACTCTGGTAACGTACCTGTCGTGATGATGTAGTAGAGCGGATCACCTTCGCGGTCCACGGCTACAAGGTTGTTTTGTAAATCATCCACCCACTGGTCCAGCGTGAAATTGCTGCGAAACGGTGGTCCTCCCACTGTCTCTGTGTGAGAAGTCACGCGACTCTGGAGATATCTTTCTAGTTTGTCGTGTTCTACAGTATGGGTATAAGACCCGCTGGCGCCGATGAACCCAAATAAAGAAGCGCCAGCTGAAGCCTTGATAGTAGACCGGTCATTGTCCATGTTTTTAACGTACGATGAATTTAAGTGGTCTTCTTGAATGATTGCTGCTCCGGCGTTGATGCCGGTAACAAAATGAGTACCGTAATCGCGAACAAGAAGCTCCGATAGATATGTGACAGTGTCATTGTCCCTTTCTTGTATAAAGGACGCGATTTCTAGCAGACGATTTTTGAAGGTTGGATGGAGTTGGGGGTCTGGCTGACTACGGATCTTGTATAAGACGTAGCGTAGCTGCACCCTGCTAAGAACGGATTTATCTCCCGTGATGTGCATCTTTGAATTTTGGTAAGACCTTGAGAAAGAGCCGCTGATAGACCCAAAGGACCAAGATGCATGCGCCTCAAGATTTATCGAGCTCGACGTGACACTGGTGTAGTTTAAAAAGTGAGAATAAAGTTCAGAGTACGTTTCGACGTTGCTTTTCTTTAGTGGAACGGCGTACGTGTCGTCTGGAATCATGAATTTTCTGTCCTGAGTTATTCGACACTTCGAATAATTGAGCGCCATGACAGGGCCCATGTCGACGTTACGGAGATTGTCCCACCCGTTAAGGGGAATGACTTCTAGCATATCCATCGTCTGCTGCGGGCAATTCTGCGGATCGCCGTATTCAAACCCCTGCACTTTATTCGTGATAACTGCGGAGGTCTTTTCCACGGCAACCACATGTCCAATTGCCCACGGAACCGCCAAAAAGGCAACAAAAATGACATACGTGCACACGCTCAACATTTTCGAGATCTCCTTTCTTCGATTAGTCGCGGTTCTTTTTTATTCGGTCTACCTCGTCTATTGTTAGCAACGAAATTTCCAGGTTTCATTTTGAGACTCAGCATCACCTGACTCTCGTTTACAATACAGCTCGTGACTCTTTTTATTTACATACTTGTTTAACCTGACCAGAAATAAAGCCCAGGGTTTCAGTTTCGATGAGCAAGTGCTCCAAGTCACTTGAATTTCCATTTCGTGATGGCTGGAACAAAAGGAAGTGAATTCTACTTCCTTGATCGGATAAAGAATCAGTTAGTAATAAGATTAGATTATTTATGGCAGTCTAGAGCATTTGTCAACAAGACACCATTTCCACATTCAAATATGTTAAAAACAAATTTCAAATATTTGAAATAGTTTTTTATTTTGTTATACTCAGGGTGGTTATACTACACCAACATCTGAATAATATAGGTCTTGGCAATACACAGATGAGATGCTCATGTGCACCTTTCCTCTCACAAAGTAGAGCGCCTTATTGGATATTAAATCCAGAAACAATTTTTCACATACATCTATAATTATGACTCATGCATTTCTCGCCATTATTCTTTCACTTTGCACATATGTCATTTTTAAAAATGTCCAATTATGAGTCATTCATGTGTTCAGAGTTTACCTTGACGTAATGTACATATTAGTATTTCAAGTAAATAGCTCCTAGGACCATATTATATTTCCTCTTGGTTGAGGAAAAAATATATATTCATTTTTATACAGTTGGTGAATNTATTATTAGTTAAGTCTGTGTAGTGTCTGAAAAACAGCGCAAATAATTTTTTTTTTCATAAAAAATTTTGTTTTTTTGAAAATTTTGGCCTGTTTGACCTTGAAATAAAGGTCAAAGGTCAAATCCAAGGGCATATTTGAAATCTACACATATGACTTTTGGAAAGCCGTCGGTAGAAAATTTTCCCAAAATTCCTTCTGTAGGGTAGATAATTAGCATTTAATTTTGCCATTTTTGGACAAGGGTGCATTGCAATGAGTGCCACACCTAGACCCCAATACCGGCAAAGCCCAAATTTTACGTGGAATGAGTTGAGATTATAGGTGAACTAAATCCAAGAGATGGGTACGGAGGCCCTCACCGTCTAGGAGGAAAAGCGGTAACGGTAACATGGTGGCAGAGCCGGCGGAACGATCCGGACGGGACTAAAACCATGTGTACCGTCAGCGCCAACGCTGGTGGTACAATAATTTTATAGAGTAAGGTGATTCACTTTGGATCAATGCAAAATATCTTGCTCAGTCGTCACCTAAATAGGTTAATGAAAGTCTAAAAAACACATGCTTCTAATAATGCAGACTAAGACTGCATTCCCACAGATAGCTAGAACGATCTATCCCCCTGGGGAGTCTCACTAAATTCCTCTCAACTTGGCCGGCTTAAATGTCTGTCACGCCTAGTAAAGCTGTTAGGGGGTAATTATCTTTACCCTAGCTGATTCAGTAGGCTTGACAGACATTTAAGCCTCTTGAGCTGGCAATTTAGTGTGAACCCCTAGGGAGTTAGGTCGATCTAGATGGTTCGATCTAAATCTATGGGAATGCAGTCTAAACTACATCTACTTCTTTTCATATATGAATTTCATACAACTTGCCATAAAAAGCCTTGTAAAACTTATGACAATAAGACACACAACTGAAGATAATTAATAACACACACTGAAGGAATAAATCACATATGAAGCATCCTTGAGTAAACCACATGTGCAACCCCTGATATCAAAGCTTTGTTTGTGAATTCCAAAATTAACTGAATAAAAGGAAATGCTGAGTCTACATTGACAGAATCACTCATTTCATTTCTATCTGAGTCTCTGCATTGTCCATATTCTTCTTGGCATTTGCGTCTCTTAATATGTGGTTCTGTTGGAGAAGAGCTCGTTTGAAAGTTTTCTTCACTACTATCTGACATGTTCTGCTGATCACTGACCTTTGACTTTGCTGCTGTTTCACACTGTACCATCTGGTCTTGTATCTGCTCCCTTTTTGGGGGATCACTTCCTGCCATCCAGTTTTGAAGCAGAAGAATCATGCACTGTGGGAATAATGACTTGACAAGCTTCACTGGGGGTGGTAAATTATCAATACAGTCAATATGTGCCATTTTAAACTTGTCTACTTCCTCACATATCTTGTTTTGCAATCTATAGTATTCTTTTCCAAGCCATTCTGCGACAACACAAAGGGCTACATTCCTGTGAAGAGGCACGGAGAATTTATTCTGAAACTTACCGCTAACACATTTATCCTGAATGATATTGAGATAAGTCTCAACAAGATGGAAAGGAAATCCATCTGAGAGGTCAAATTCATTGTTAGAGTTAGATCTGCTATGCTGCAATACCTGTGTTACCTTGCTTAATATATCTAACATGTGAAATGCCTGTTGGTTTGTCTTGAATAGTTTCTTGTTGTGGAGTAAACACCTGCCCACCACTGATAATGCCCTTAATGTCTCTGCACCTGGATCTTCTTTCCCTACTTGCTCAAGGGGAGATTTTTCCATAGTGTCTGTATCTTTGTACTTGTCTTTATCATTGTCAACTGTTCTCCCAGAAACTTCAGATGCTTTATTGCAGTGCTCTTTATATGGTTCACTTGTGACTTCTCTGTTTGGATCACTGTAGGCTCTATTGCTTGAATTTGAGTAATTTTTATCATATTCCAGGATCAGAGAGTCTGGTAGTGGTGGCAGGTCAATAGTTTGCATCCACATATCCTGCAATACAAACAACAATCAATTTCACAAATTTATTACTCTCTCTCAGGCTTGCAGTTTAAATAATGCAGGTCAGATAGCAAACAAGGTGAATCAAAATAAGGTATGCCACTTCTGTGATGGAATATGAATACACAAAATAAACAGGTGGCTTTTTGAGGGACAGTTTTTTCTCAAGTGAGAGCACAATTTATGGGTGATGTTTGACATAGTGTTTGGATTAATTTAGCCAGAGGGAACAAACAATCACTGTGTTCCTGTATAGTAAGTTGTGCAGATGCATCCAACAACAATAACAATGCTGGACATTTAGATATCCCTTCAAGTCTTTAACCTAGCCAGGCACAAATCATGATTGTATTTATTGAGCATGAAGACAAGGGCTTTCCTTGAAACAACACATGACAGTACAAAGTCTACTCATACCATAAAACTCAGAGCTGTGCACTGTGCCATGGACATGTCACTTTCCCTTTTTTTTCCACCCTACCTTAAAGTTCTGTAAACAGCTTTTCTGTATTTCCTTGTCCTGATATTCAAATACAGCTTTTAACAATCCTTGGACAGAGTAACACCAGACTGGACTGCTCCAACCATGAATACGAATACCTGTAACAGTGCATGAGCTTTGTGTACTAAAATAAAATATAGATCTTATTTGGAAAGGTTACTATTAGAACACAAACTTTGCTATACCTTGAATACATGTATAAAAGATTTCTATCTAGGGTGTAACTGTCAAATTTTCAAAATTAAATGAATTTAGTCACCAGCTAATTGGTGTGATTAGACTCAGTTCTATCATTTTATAGCATGTCATCCTTGCGCCAGGGGCCATGCTAATCTTCTCTGTATCGTTCCAATTTTAGTATATGTCCCACCGTAGTGAGCATTCTTTAACTAGCTTGGTGGTGAGAATTAAGATATTTTTAATGGCTTTTTGACCAATGTTTAAGCTCTTATTGTGACCCTAATTTTAAGATAAAAATCATATCACATATTGCTGGGCTATAATCTTTTCATATTTCATTCTGCAAATACCCCGGTATGATAACTGAATGACATGTGTCTATGTAATACCTTTCAGTTGAACTTTTGCTGCAAGTCCATTTCTTGCATATCTTGCATGGATTCTTGGGAAATTCTTGGCTGGCTGCTCACATCCTGTTACCTGTAATACATCTGTTGCAAGAAACAGGAGCTCTCCTTTGGTCATCTGAAAGTGTTGATAAGGGGCCGTAGCGATAGTCCGAAGGTTCAATAGTCCGAAGGTTCATTGGTCCGAATGTTCACTATAGAACCTTCGGACCAATGAACCCTTGATTAAAAAATCGATGAAAATGTTACCACTTTTCGGACCAATGAACCCTCGGACCAATGAACCTTCGGACTATCGAGACGCCCCCGTTGATAAAACGTACATATTTTTGTTTGGAGTAAGTTTCAATGAAACTTTTATGGTTCACAATGCTTCCCTCTTCTTCTTATCAAAATCTCTTAATTTTCACCAAGTTAAAAATAGAGCATATACTGAGTGCATGTTGAATACAGTGTACTGATATGACTAATAAATAAATAAAAAAAAACCCTTTGCGCTGTTTCATACTTGAGTTTACTCAGTACAAATTTGGCCTCAACCGCCCGAGTCTTACACATCTGGTAAATGCACAGCTACAGGGCCTGCTGTGTTGTATTTATCTGCAGGTAAATGACTTCTCTTAGTTTTGCCAGATTTGCTTACTAAGTAGAATCATCAACTCAAATTATATTTGACAGAGTGTGTCCTTCATTATCTGACACTTACTGCATGTTGGACATCAATGTGAAATTTATCATTTCTGCACAGACAAACACATCTGATCCTTTTTTGACCAAGTTTTATGGAAGGTAAATGAAGAAAACTGTTCATTCCACTATCCATACTTATTTTGACCCAATTTTAACATTATAGCTCCGCACCTTGACCTAGATTAAAAAAAGGAAAATTCATCTTTGAAAATAGCAAAAAAAAATAATTATAATATTACAAACAATGATCACAACCGATACTTTCCGTTTACAGAATACATGTATTTGTTAAGAACTGTCCCGCATACTAAAGCAACATGGCCGACTTTGGAGATGACCTTCTCTTTGCGGAGTTTGAAAAAGATCGTTTGCCTAAAAGTAAATTCATTCATAAAAATGGACACAGGGAAGCCCTTGAAGGTACAATGGACGAGGAACTGGACCATTTGGATAGAAACACAAGAGAAACAGTAATAAAAAATAATGATGACAATGACTTAAATTCAGTTTCAGAGTTTTCGGCTTCATCGTCACAATTCAAAACCGAAACTGAACAAGAACAAAGTGATGGTCAGGACGGTGGAACAACGAAATCAAGAAAATCAGACAAATTTTCAGATATGAATTTACAGCAACAATTACGGAGATTGGAAGCAGAGAGTATCTTTTTTTTATCATAGTATTGACTCAATTGAGTCCTGGGAACTTCAGAATCAAAAATTGTTTGAGTTTGTCATCTTGACTGGTTGCTCAACCGGGTTATTGTACCTTTAAACAACAAAAAATGACTTTAGTCTGTCGAACATAAGAAAAAGCAATCGATTTTTTTCTTTGCTGTAAATATCCCTCAAGAAAAATTCATTTTGGCTGTTAAATCTTATATAAGGTACCCTTAAGAATGAAGAACTGGAAATTTTTTTTGGGGGTAATTAAAGCCTTCTTATTTCTGATTAGAATGGGATGTGGATAATCTCATATTTTAAAGTTTCTTATAAAATTTTGCAATTAAATATGTTATTCCTTAGTTTTTGTCAGACATAAAATTAAAGCAATATGCAAAATTACTTGATGTATCAAGGTGAGTTATGATGTTAATGTGTTGATGTTCCGAGGTTCCTTGACCCTCCTTACTTGAAAATGATCTCCACCTTATAACCTAGTTATTTAGAAAATATGTGCTTTTTTAGTTTGGATACAAAATGATCAAAAATAAATTAAATTAATGTAACGATTGTTGTGGTTGAAATCATAGTCATCTCATCTAGTTTTATTATAGGTGTATGCCAGAAGGAGAAGGACCAAGTTTTGAAGTATTGTTTTTTAATACAAAGGATTCAAGGTATGAGTGTCACTGCTAGTTCATAAATGACGAAGTTGCAGAAATAACATAAATGACTGTTTAGCGAAAATCTTATGTTAAAATTTGTAAAAAAACAATTTAATTTTTGTATTTTTATTGTCATAATGAGTTTGTCTTATATATTGCATGTAATTTATTAACACATAAATCATGACTTCCATTGGATCTCTTTATAGAAAATTGCATTCCAAGATAGAGATGGCTATAGGTGCTTTTTTTGAACAGTTAAAGAATGATAGTGACATACCATCTTTGAAGCTAAGGGTAAGTCGGTAAAACTTCAAATGAACAAAACAAATCTCTTTCAGTATTTATTGTTTATACTTATTTTTGTACAAAATATGTTTGCAAAGTGGGGAGTTTAGATCAGTTACGCAAATTACGTGACTTTATGTATGATAAAAATCGAATGACTTGTTTGCAATATTATAGTGCAGTTAAACTTATCCAAGATTTACTGGTGTATATTTCAGCCCTACCACAGTTATCCCTGTTTAGATAACAAACTCGAAGCAGACACTGCTGATTCTAAAGCCACTGTAAGTTTTGCATGTACTGAGTATGTGTGTGTGTATGTGTGCATGTGTTTATCAAGATTTGAATATTTAATTATTTTCTTTTCTTATGAAAAGTTTAAAACCATACATAAATCATAAATTGTACAATTCTTAGATATGTTGTAATATATTCTTATGCATACATGGATAGTTGTAAGGGTCTTCATAAAAAAAAGAATATACAAAAAATAGCATATTTATAGAATTATTGACAATAATGAAAAGTTAATTTGGAGGAGTTATTGATGCTTGTTGATGATTTTGCTAGAAGGGTAATTTTTATATAACTTAAATGCTATTCTAGGTAGTAGGCTGTTCACAATACCACTCTGACTTCTTAATAGACCAAATGGGCTGGCCTCTTATAGAGGACAAACCAGAGCTGACAGATGGATGGGATATCCCACAGTATTCTTTAGTTTAATGAATATTATAAATTCCAATTTAATAATTAAACCATGACTTTTTTAACAACCTGACATTAACTTCTTAAAGAAAATTTTCTCACAAAATTGTGCTGTTATAAATGGAGGTTTTACTGAGAGTAGATTTGCTCCTTAATGTCCATCAGTTACGAACAGATATTTAAAGAATCAATACCAGTGGAAGAAGAGGAAAGCAATGCACCTAAAAGACAGAAAAGGTATTTTTTAAATGTTCCAGCACTTTTCTTTTATTAAGTTATTTGATTAATAAGTACAAAACTGGGGCAAATGGTGGCTTGTGTGCAAAATTTAAAACTACTCTGAAAAGTAACAGACATTCTTTATAATCATTGAAAATGTTTTTCAGGCCTAAAGCTGCTTGTTTCAACTGTGAAGGTGATCACAATGTGAGTGAATGCCCTGTTAAGAAAGACTTTGCCAGAATTAACAAAAACAAGCGCGAGTTCATGGATAAGTTTTCTTCTCCAGCACCTCTGCAGTTGAAAAATGGGTAAGGATTCTAGTTTTTAAATTGGAATGCTTTTTGAGTAAAATATTGTGAATCATGATTAGTAAGCTTTCTTACAATTTCTTGCAATTTTAATTTCATAAACAAAAAGGGATTTCAGGTAGGCAAAAATTTTTAACTTTTTATATTTAATTTGAAAGTTCATTTGTGAATTTTAATTTTTTTTTTGTCTGGTCCAGGCGCTATCACATAGAAGAAGATCCCAGATTTGCAGACTTTAAAGCTGGTGTTCTAAGGTATAATTTCATGTAATATAAAGATATTTTATATTCTAAAAGTTTGTTTTTATGTTAGCAATATAGACCCGTACAATATGATAAGAGTTGTGAGGGTAAATAATGTGATGCAAAGCAAGGCAAGAAATTGTTATGTGGCCTTTATTACTTTTCATGGAATGAATTTTTGAAAAAGAAATTAAGACCAGCTTTCATATACAGTTTTGACAGATTCAAAAGATATTTTTCTTTGACTTATTTGTTGAAAATTAGTTTTGGCTGTAACAAGAAATATACTTATGTATACATGACCCTAGCATAGAGAACAAAAAGACCCTTCCACCTTAATTTAATTTGACCTATGCATTAGCCTACTCTCTCTTATTTTCAGCAAGGATCTTCGTAAGGCTTTGGGTCTTCACAGGGATGAGCTTCCGCCTTACATCTATCAAATGCGCATCCTAGGCTACCCACCAGGTCATCTAAGGGAGGCAGAGCTCCGCACATCTGGTCTGGTCATGTTTGACAAGCATGGAAGAGGTTAGTATTCTTAGATTAAGGCTTAAATCATGTTATTAAAATCACATTTGCTTCTTGAATAAACTTTTTTTATGGGAGGATCCCTCTCATTCTGCAGAGAAACAGTTACCACAAGTCAACACAATTCACAATGGTGACAGATGAGCCTAACATTTTATCCTTTTTTGAAACATTGTCATTTTGAGAAGATATCAATTCAATGTCATTCAATTATTAATACTGTATGTATAAATGAATATTCTGTCTTTTCTGACATGAATTCTCATCTTTACAGAAACCAATGTTCAAGGGGACAGCATGGAAGATGGTGAGGTGGATGATGAAATGGACCCAACCAAAGGTAAATTTTTCTTACCTGACATGCTCAGCTATCAATGTGTTAGCAGTGAGTAAATGGAAGAAAATATTGATGTATTATCTCTAATAATAATTATTTGTTATTCAGTCACTTACTGGGAGGATCCAAAATGCTGTGGGGTCCATGGAAAAATTATGTATGGGCATGGCACCAGCTGAGTTTTATCTTTTGAATAAAAATGCAATAAATCCTTCACTCAGCCTCAATTGTATTTCAATTACTATCTTTACGTGGTGAAACATAAGGCAGAGGTGAGGAAACTAGGCCAGTGGGCTGCTGCAGAATATTGTCATTTATTGAAACGATGCTTGCAGGTAGTAGGATATCGTTCCATATTCAGTACCTTATGTCTGATCAGATAAGACCAATTTAGTCAGTGATGTGATTAAATTGTGACTGTGATGTTAAATCCAAATTGTGTCCATATAACTATAGGCAATGTGGTCTAACATTTATGTGTAAAAATTCAATATTTCAGTGCAATATGATGCAGAAAAGGTGGTTGAATATCCTGGATTCAATGTACCACTTCCTGCAGGAGTGAGAGATGTAAGTTGGCAAGAGGAGGGATATTGGTGCTTTTCTGTTTTTACACATTTTCCTTAAGCGAACTTTTCTGCTGTCTTTGAAGAATTCCTCTTTTATCATTTGTGTAGTTTGCAATATTTTTTTCCTTTGTCCTCTCTCTGTCCTACAGGAGCATGGGATGCCACCAATGAGGATTGAACACCAGAAAGAAGTGCTGGTGGCATTTATGGCTAATCAGGTAATTAGGAAGGTTTTTTTTTCAGTAAAGTCAGTATGTTCTCATGAGTAAAGTCTAGTATGTTATCATGATATTATTTTATTCTAAAGTAAAGAAATCTATGATGTTATGTACTTCACATTTCTTTAGGCTATCTATTTAAGATGAAAGATCCAGCATGATTATATTATATTATATTAATCTTGTAGTGAACATGGGAGATTGGGGATTGGTTTGCTTAGATGACATAAAACAGTATGTCATGGGCACTGTACACATTTGCATAAGATCTGTTTTAGGGAATGAAAAGAAAACTTGAGGAAGATGAAAATAATAAGAGGAAGAAGAAACCACGCTATGCTTTAGAAGATATGGATTTGGATGAATCTGGTAAAAAATATGATAAAAGATGCAAATAGCTAAAGTAATTTGTTTCATTTTAAATATTTGTAATTTTTATTTTCATAACACAGTTTTTTACCAAATGTTATAATTTGTCTCATTGTTTATGTTGGTTTAAAATTATTATTTGCCATTAAAAAAGGAGTGGAATTTTTATGGCATAATCATCAGTTGGTTAATGAAGGACTAGTATCACCAAAGTGCATTGGTTCACATTCGCTTTGCTTTCAGTGGTCTTTATTGGAATTTTTGAAAGCAAATCATCAAGGGTTTTTCTTTGTAAAGATTCCCTTTTTACTTTGCATACTTAAAAATCTAGTATCTTTAAAATGAGCAGGGCATGAGCTCTGTAGTTACTATCTTATGTGGGGTTTTGGGGCCAGCTGCAAGTGTAGTGAAAAGGTTGGTGCATCACATGTTCTCTGGTTCAGCACACTGCTTGTTTGTCTTCAAACAATCCATGTGTTTGTTAATGCAGAACATACATCTTTCTGAGGCATGCTTTTCTATTATCCAGTTGTGCATAAGATGGCACCTTTGAGTTTCTTTGTGTACGGTAATGACACGATCTTTTTAATGAGGAAAAACTAACAATTTTTCAGATACATAATTTGAAAATCATTAAAAATGTATTTTTGCGTAGCATCTGTGGGGCTTTTTCTGTATACAATAGAACTATAAGGTAGCCTGTTTATCAGTTTTGTTGCTGTCACTCAAAAGGAATGTTCTAACTTTAAGAATTTATGACTTGAAAAAATACAATATCTGTAAAATTCATAATTTTCCCCATTGAGAAGATCTAGTCATTACCGTATTCACATTTAAGGAGTGCAAGGCTGCATATAGTGCTGGTATTTTGTGCTTTAACAAAGATATGTTTTCTTCACTGTTTTACTTTCTTCACAATTTTGGCTTCTGATGGCCAAGGTATATTTTTATCGGCTGATTCTTTCTCCAGTTTAATGCTATATTTATAAATTTTGCTTCGTAGTTTACGATAAATATTGAATACTTTAAGTCTGGGCTGGTCAGAATGAGTTAAGATGCAATAGCTAGTGTGCACTACCTCCACTGGGACTCTCGCTAAATGCAATCAGATTAACAGACTACCACACCTCCTCCTGGCATTGAGTAGAATACAGAAAAGCTGGTGATTATACAAGTATGTTGGAAACAAGAGGAGGCTTGTTAGTCTGTTCATCTGATTGCATTCAGTGAGAGTCCCCTTGGAGTTGGTGCACTCGGTTGATACAACTTATTCTGAACAACCCCTAAATGTAGAAATCTCAGACTAAACCTGTGTTTTATCTTTGTGTAGATGATGGGTCTGCGGTGGTACCTGTGTCTGGTGAGGATGAGGGCATACAGCAGCCAGGAACACCAGATGTAGACCCACATAGCCGCACTAATTCTTCCCATAATTACATATTCTCAACACAGTGCATGTCTTTAGCCCCTTTAACAGATGCTAATACTCTCCAATCACAACCTTTATTAAGTTTGACGAATCCAGCCAATAATTCACATTCTCTCAGTATTCCTTTACATTTGACTCCTCAGCAACCATTTTTAACTTCACATAGCTTTCCTCCTCTAGATTTGCCCTCTCACACCCTTGACCCTCCTTTATCACCAGAAGCATCGCCTAACAACACAGCCCTCCTGCCTTTGCCTGCTGAAATACCACTCCACACCATATTTCAGCCCCCATTGCCTACTGAGACCCCTCCGTTTGTCCCCGCTCTACCCCCTTTACCTGCTGAAACACCTCCCCACATCCCAGCTCCACCCCCTTTGCCTGATAATACACCTCCCCACACACCAGCTCCACCCTCTTTGCCTGCTGAACCACCTCCCCACACCCCAGCTCCACCTCCTTTGCCTGCTGAAACACCTCCCCACACCCCAGCTCCACCC